GTCGTCGTCGTAGTGGTCCGGAGGTTAAGGCTCCTGCTTCTCATGCATGAGAGTGCAGGTTCAAACGTAACCTGGAAAAAGTCACATTGGTACTGGCAAGTAGGTTATTATTTAGACACCACTGATATACGGTGAATGTAAATATCGTGAGGAAACCTGGACTTAAAATTTCTATCGTCAACCCGCATTGAACAAGCGTGGTTATTAATTCTTAAATCTTCTCCGTGTTAGAAGAGATCTTTGCTCAGCAGTGGGCACTTCTTATAGGCTGATTATCCTTCCTTAATCGTAAACTCTAATCTCCAAAAGCCCGGCAACTCTTCTGAGGTTGGGGGTGTCCATGGACAGCATCGATTACTTACCATCAGATTTTTCTGCTCGTTTGCGAACTTATCACATAAAATTAACACCCATACTCCGGTTTTAACCCTTTGTAACCCGTGATCATAAATTTCGGAATCGGAGTTTTAGGTCATTCTATCTGTGAAGAATTTTGTTAGGCAAAATATTTATTCTGACTGAAAACGAAGACGACGACGACTTTTCTCATTTCAAATATTCAAATCACATATATGTATAATGATCATTACTATCCATTACTAGACTTTAGGTATATTTTATATGAGAGTGTTTTGCTTATAAGTTACCTACACTCTTAGGAGTTGATCGAAGATCGCAATTAAGAAAGCTCAGGTGAATCACATATTGCTGCTGACAGGTACCTGTCGAATATGTAGATCTTTATTTGGCTCTTACAAAACCCACTGGAAGAATGGGGGAATCAAATGTACTGTCACTAAACGGTATAAGTTTTATAGAAAAGCTTAAGCTTAAGCTTAATAGGCAAGCTTACACTTACACCAGACAATCGGCAAAACGTCATCGCTGCATGGTGAACCTCACGCACGAAGCCGTTCTTCAAGCCGACCTTCAAGTTTTATAATGAAAACCTCTAAGGAATGGAATTCATTGCCGAAATTTCTGTTCCCTAAAGAATATAACCTGGGTGTCTTCAAAGCACGAGTGAATAGGATGCTTAGGGATAGACGTGCTCCATCGTAGGTCGCATCGCTTGCCAACAAACGTGATAGCGGCCAAATGTCCAAAAGTCTTTTTTTTATTTAATAATGTGCAGCCATTCATTTTGGCAGACAAAAGCGCGATATAATTAATGAGTTATTGAGTTCCTCTAACCAATTCAACTATCAAATATCAATATATTATTACGGCTGAAACTACAGCGGATACGTCGGTCGACGGATATCGCCACTTCTTTATTTTTACATAATATTAATTATAGCGGGCCTCTGACACGCATGCGCAGCAAATGTGATCGTTACTGACTCATGACACGGCTAGTTACTGATGTTATTACATAAATACATAACGATGCAACTCTTCTTGGTATATTTATCAAGTATTTAGGATCTACAGCTAACCAAACAATTGAAAAATTTGTCAACATGTCTTCAATACACTGAATATATAAAAACTAGCTCCTTCCACGCCGTTTCACCAGCTCCTCGACAGCTATTGACCATAGCGCTTTTTATGGCCTATATATAGCCTTCCTCAATAAATGGACTATACAACACATAAAGATTTTTTCCTTTTCAAACCAGTAGTTCCAGAGATAAGCGCATTCAAAGACACCAACAAAATCTTCAGCTTTATAATATCAATATAGATGAATCGCAAAATATGTTGGTATGCGCGTAACTATAACAATATTGCCAATATTTTTTTGTTGTGTGTGTTCTCAGGAAAAGCTTAAGGGGGAAATGTCGGGAAGTAGCAATTGTTACGGTGCTATAGTTCCTTTATAAAACAAATAAATATCATTAAGAGTGCCTCTAGAACGTTGGGTTTTGTAATTCGAAATTCCAAACCTCTTAGAAAGCCAAAAACAAGAATCTTACTATATTGTAGTCTTGTCAGAAGTATTCTTGAGTATTGTAGCCCTGTATGGAGACTACGCTATGCCACACATTCCCTTAGGCTCGAGAGAGTGCAAAAAAAATTTCTATGGCACCTAAGTCGCGGTACAGCTTGTGGCGATAGAAGGTCCTCGTACAATGACAGGCTGCATTTATTCGGAATGCAGACTCTCTCAAAGCGCAGGGATATCTTAGATCTAATCTTTCTATTTAAAATACTCCGAGGTCAAATAAACTGTCCACAGCTCCTTAATTCCTTTAGGTTTAGTGTACCATCGAGATATCCGCGTAAGCCAGTTCAACCTCTCTCAGCCCCTTTTAGGCGCACAGAGTTTGGTGAATCATCACCCATTCCCCGTCTCTGTCGCTTATTAAACAACTGCAGTGAATCTTTGGACGTACACTTTGACTCTTTGTCGCAATTCCGAAAGAAGTTGGCTTGTCTAAATTAGTCGAATCCAGCTCTTCCTTTTTATTTACTTAAAACTGGTAAAATTAAAGAATTTTGTTAAAAAATGTACCTTATCTTTAGTATAGTTAAGTCTAGTTAGATATAATTTTTATTATTTATCACTGTCATTACGCTCTCTTTTAATTGTACGCTGTAGCTACCTTAATATGTTATGCAACTAGCTTGAAACTTAATAATTGTTAACCATACATTTATGTGTTGTAATAACTACTGGTGGTTCTAATAAATATAAATAAATAAATAAATGATACATGATTACCTGATGGTGAACAATCGACGCCACCCATGTACCTACACTAGAACTTTTTTTTTTTTTGTGAGGGGAAAATCATCAAATGACTTTTCCCGCCGGGCAGGAGGGAGTGTCAGACTCTTACTGACTAAAAACCCCCCTGTTCCTTCTCCTGCTCTGTGCCGAGGTCGCGGTACCTCATTGCGCTTACCCCGCAACCCCGGCTGAACATCAGCCCTTTAGGGCCCCATCTGTGGTGGTCGTATGGCTCTTTGAGGCGCGCGCGGAACGCTACGCGCCGTACGCTCGGGCCTGGTTCTGGTCGGGCGGCGAGCTGCCCTTACTCGCCGACCGCAGGCCCGTGCTTACGGTGGCCGGAGATCGTCCCTCGATCCCCGACGCCCGTAGTGTCGCCAGTTGCGGCTGCTGGGGCGTGAGGAGGAGGATTGCTCCCTCACGCGGGCCGCCTCTCTCTTTGCGAGCATGACTGCTTCACAAAAGGAGGAGACGGCGTCCCAGTTCCTCTCACTCCGCACCATGGCCTCGACTAAGGCCGGGCGCGAGAGGTCGCCGCCGCCGATCACTTCCCTGAGGATACGGCGGTGCTCAGCCCAGGCAGGGCATACCGCTACCGTATGCTCCACCGTATCCTCTAGGTGGTCCTCACAATGACGACACTCGGGCGTTTCCTCCCGCTGGATCCGAAACAGGAACCTACCGAAGCTGCCGTGCCCGGTAAGCACCTGCGTCAGGCGGAAGGTGAGGACGCCGTGGCGTCTCTCAAGCCACTCCTCAAAGAGGGACTAGAACTAAAGTTTTTTACTATAAGTGCGTTGCCAGCCTTTGTGGGTTATAATGGATTTAAGGAAAAGGGATTTGGAGATGGGGGAGGGGCGAAAGATTAGGCTTCGAACAAATAATTATGTCTAAGTTAATAATGCTTTAATTAAGGTTCAACATTGGTTTACCAGACCCGAGTGCACGGCGCGTAGCGTTCCGCGCGCACCTCAAAGAGCTAATAGACCACCACAGAGGGTGCCCTATAGGGGTGATCATTAAGGGAGACTAATTTCCTGGAAATTACTCGAGATGACAAATGACAAACTTCAAAAACATGTCGTATGGAATTCAATTATTGGACAAGCATATTACAAAAGCGTGGCATTAGAGCTATCCATGACTGAGGTCGTTGCAAATGTATCAGAAAAAAGTTTAAATAGATCAATGTATTTAATATATTACGACCAATTTTAATGTAATATAAATACAAATAAATATTATTACCATGTCAACTCATTTATGAAACCATTATGTACCTACGTTAGCACAAACCTTCAGTTACATATTTGTTAAAATATCTGATAAACATATTAACAAATTAGACATAAGGCTAGAATAAGTCATTAGATTGGCAAAGACAAGTCATTCATGGGTTTCTATGTTAAATGATTTTTTTTTTAGTGGGGAAATCATTAAATGACTTCAACCGCCCAGGAACCGGCCAGGGGATGGAGAGAGTGTCAGACTCTTACCGACTGAAAACCCCCTCCTTCTCCTGCTCTGGGCCGAGGCCGCAGTAACTCATTGCGCTTACTCCACAACCCCGGCTGAATAGCAGCCCTATAGGACCCCGTCTGTTGTAGTCTATTGGCTCTTTGGGGCGCGCGCGGAACGCTACGTGCTTGGGTGTAATTTTGGTCGGGCGGCGAACTACCCGCTGTGTTAAATGTAGTAAGTAAACTTTATTTATGTAGACAAACATGCCACATACTAAATTATTATATACCTAAAGAATAAAAACACTTCCAAGCATTTTTAAATTGTTATTTATGAGAATTGTTAATGTTAAGAGGGATTTTAATTATGAAATTATGCACCCTGTTATTAATTAATAAATAAATAAATAAATAAATTTGTTAATGAAGTTCAAGTTTAGTAAATGTGAGTGCCCTGTAACCTAATAATATTAGACACCTTAGGACTTGTCATGCTCACTCAGGGGTCTTATTGGCGGTGGCACGAGCACTGGATGGATCGTTCGATTCCCTTTAATGATGTAGCAAAGAAATTAATTGTGAAACTGATAGAAAAACAGGAGCCTTGCAGTTTCTAGCTCATTCTTCTCCATAGGAATCTACACTTTAGAACGAGCAAAAATCTTCAAGCCGGTATTCTGTGAGACTGTGGTACATCACTCCGGTCAAGCCGCTCCATTCGCGCCGAAGCATGGCTCTCCCACACTTACACTCATTGTTTTTTTAACTAATTACACAAGTGAGGTTAAGACACATCACGTCAATAGGGAAACAAAAATTATGTACCTAAGTAAAAAGAAATAAATCCAATGAAACACGTCAAATAATTGTAATTATTTCGTTTAATACAACACTAAGTAAGTATAATTTACAATGATCAATAAGTATTCGTGTTGGCTCGAGCACAGCAGCTCCACTGAACATAAGCACTCTTTCCGCTGACCATCAATGTAAACTGAACAATTATAAGAGGTCATTCACACTACACCGCTCGAATCCACAACGATCAACGCCGATCCCGTACGATCACAAAGGCATAATTGCAAAACTTAATAACTCTACAATAGCAAAATAATATTTTAAAAAAATTCGTAGGGCCCGCCACTAATTGCGATTTTTTGTCACTGCCACTTACTGAATCTCTTCTTCAGTGACAAGGTAATGGACTTCAAAATGAAATAAGCACAAAAAGTCACTAGTAAGCAGACTCCTATAGTTTTACTAGTCGACTGACAGTCACGATGCAAATATTACTTAGTCACCGTATTGTCACATCTTTAAACGCAAGTTTGTGACAAAAAATCACAATCAGCGTCAGCCCCTAAGCGGTGTAGTGCAGAACATTCCTAATTTCTTACGTACTAAGCAAGTACGCAATTATTAAATAATAGAAATAAAAAAATAAATCGTCGACATAATATAAAATTTTCTCAATTCCAATATCAGAATCCTTGTTTTCGTGCAATGTAAGTAAGTATTTGTGAACGATATACGTAATTGTTGTACTTAACTGTTCGGGGCTGTAACCACGCATAAGTGTGCGAGTCTATGAAAGAAAATATCAGTCAGCTTAGTAAAGGATTCTTGCCAACAGCCTCACATCATGGCAGTTACTAACGTAGGTACGAAGAAATTGTATATCTACTGGCTACGTGTTTGTGACAAATGCGTGTAAGATTGTGTCAGGTCACGGTAAAGTTAGAGTTTGGAATAAATTTCAGGCGGCGGGACTTGGCAATCTTAGGCGGATAGGAACAGCTAACAATCAATTCTGTCTATCTATTTCTAGTTTGAAAATTGTAAAGCGATTTACCGTGACCCAACCGTGACAGCATTAGCACGTTCACATAGAATATGTAAAAATGTGACACACCTACATAGCTATCAATGTATACATTTTTAATTCCCAAAGTTATTGCGTATTCCGAATATACATTTAACATACTCATTATACAGTTTCTACGTTATAAGTATACATATAATGTGTGATATGGTTGTTTCCACCGTTTCCGTGTAATAAACATCGAAAATGTAACAAAATAACCAAAATAACGCCCTTATTATTATTATTTTATAGTATAAATGCAAAATCGAAAAATGCACGAAAATTATAATTGTTTTTTTTTCGAACAAAACAAGAAAAGATTATCAGAATACAGTGATTTTTACTACTAAGTACCTATTACATTTTTTCTAATATTTTTTTCTACAACATGAACGATTTAATATGCAATAGTTAAGTTAAGTGAATGTTACACTTGTCTAAATTTTAACCTTATTTTTTTTTTTCAAATAGTATTATTTTACAATCCATGATAAATATTTACAGTCTAAACTTACACTAGAAACAATTCCTTGGAATTAATTAAGTAAAAACAAAAAAATAAAAATAAACGGTACCAAAAATATTATGGCCGCCATTGGAAATAAACATTACATATCATAACTTTACATCAGATCAATAATCACAAAAAAATATGTAAAAAATAAAACGGTATCTGTATTTTTGAAAATAAATGTTAATGTTCTGAGATCTTATTCATTTTCCTGAAGCACAAAATGATAAAACAACTGAAACGCTAGGCGTATAATTAAGCTTATGTTTATTATACCAATAGTTGCTACTTATTGTTCTTAATACTTGTATATTACAAATAATGATTAAATATTTTTATTTAAATATTGATATGGACCTTTTAAGGTTATTTTATCGTTGAATTCAATGATTATTTGCGCAATCCGTTCCATCTAAAAACTTCCTAACACTTACATACTATAAATATTACTAACAAGTTACACTACCTCAGCTACCAAACCTAAGGGGAGACTAAAATTAAAAATTAAAAAAAAACGTAAAACCTATAATACTTCAAAACCCCGTTAAAACCGGGTCAATTAAAAAATAAAGACAAAAATATATTTGGTTAACTCTAACTTACAATTCCTCATTTCGAGATCGTCCATTTTCTTTTTAATTATAAAAACTTCCAACAGTGAACACATTACACTTTCTAGTACACCATTTCTAATAACTTGAAATAGATCTACACCCGTAATTAATATAGTATTATATACTGTGATAATAAACGCCAAACACTGGAGTGTTACTGTTAACGATTTACACTTAGTCCACGTGACGTGTGTATTTACACACTTGTGTACAGACACACTTTAGCTTTGGTTACACATACACAGCTTGTGTACAAGTAAAAGCTACAGAATCTTGATACTTGATCGCGTTAGACACTAGTATACGTGCCTGCGAAGTCGCGGTACTTTATTTGTCAGATCTCTGTTCATTGAGGGACAAGTTTTCAGCTTCGTCCTTGATGTGGGACATGGAAGGCCGGTACCGATCTTCGGCCCTCGGGTAGTCATCATAAGGACTAGTTTCGCCAGAGCGGTTGCTGGACGACTCTTTGTTTGAGTTTGAATAGTCTGAAAAGGAGAATAAAATGTAAAGTAATGCATTATTTTAGCCGAAGCGGTAGTTTTAGTACAAGGAACGGGGTGGTTTTTATTCAGTAAGAATCTCACACTCTCGCCCCACCACGAGTGGGAGAAGTAATTAGATGATAAAAAATTAATGCCAATTAATTAGACAATAGAATAAACTTTTAAATAGACCATCCCATGTTTTCTTCCTCAATTTTTTCTTAAAAGTCCATTTACTCCACTGCTGTAATTCTTGGAAATGTAAGTGTCGTAAAACATTTTAAAGGTACCTTTGTTAGAATAATCAGAAGCCTGCATCTCGTTCTTGAGTGCGTAGATGTTTGGTTTAACATCTTGAGGATCGCTGGTCAGGTCCTCGGCCTTGACATCATGAGAAGAACTGCTGCTGCCGTATCCATTTAGTATTGGGGGCCGACTGGTAAACATAACAATCGTCAAAACTTAGTAATACATTCTTATTTTTACTATTTTAGGTATATGAAAAATACACAGCTGGACTTGGCAACAATGGCATGCCACATAGTTTTCCTGACCATTTTGTGGATGAAATCCTTTGTATGATTATAAATTTACCTGTAATCATCATGCGAGGATGGATAATCTTCAGACTGCATCATGTGATCCTCACCGGACATGTAGGACAGATTGCAGTCTTCCATCATACCCTAAAAAACAGGTTAAAATTGGTAAAAACAATTCTTCAAAACTTAATACTTAAAAAAATTGTTATTGCGGGTTTGTTAGTAGTAATTTCTTGTTAAGTCACATACATTATACCATACCTGCAGGTTTCGTTTCAATGCTTCGCTATATCCATGAGGACTGGTCATCATTGGAGGACTCTGAGCTCCCATGAACCTGCGAGAACATTAGCTCATTATAGAACTACCAAATCATAAAACAATACTCAGCTCTCAAAATCAAATTAATTTAAATTCTCCAAAATCTTTTCTCAAAAAAAACTTTAATGCTTATGAATTTATAATATTTAATGGAACTGGTAACTTTAATAAAAGAAAATTAATTAAAAAAAATCATACCCCGGCCATTACAGACCTCTTCCAAATAAACTTATAAGTCTTATTTATACTAATTATAGTGAATTTTGTAATGTGTATATTCTGTGGAGTGTATAATTTTGAATTCAAGTCCAATTTATATGAAAAGTGTAACAGTATGTGTGTGAATGTGTATGATAGAGAAAGATAAATAGAATATAAAATAGAAAATGGAAAAAAAGCAAGCATATTGGAAAATTGTTAGAAAAATCTTAAAAAAACTATCATGCGACAAAAATGCACAGGCAAAGCTTAAGAAGCGGTACACTTACCTGGGGGAAAACATGCAACAATTTATAGATTGGGAATAGTAAAAGATTAAAATATAATATTTAATCTTACTTGGGTATCCAACGACGATCCTTTACAATAATTTGTATTAGATGCATACATGCAAGTCTTTGTAAAAATAAACATTGTTTATAATCATTGACATAGCTCTGGAGATCCATCAAATTGAAATTGAAAATTTTCCACAATATATAATTACATTAGCAAATTATGATATAGAAGCTAATTTTAAACAAGTTATTTGTTTTAATGTGATGTTAAAAACTATTGCAAAACAATCGGCTATAGCTTCGCACTCTAGGAGTCTATTATTCTTGTGTGTGTTTATATTAACCATTCATATGTTTTTTTCATTTTTAATCATATCTCTCTTGCCAGTTGTAATATGTTCTAAATGTCTCATGTAAAAAGAAATATAATCACACACAGTGTTCATAATATTCTATTATAAACACGTGTCTAGTTACAGACTATGTTGAATTAATCTAAGCTTACACGGTGAAACACTTTACAATAATGGTCAGAAACATCAAATCTAGTGTGTCTACCGAGGATTATCTCCGTCACGCTAATACTCTGATAATTCTCGGTGTCTGTATTCACATACATTAACGCTATGTGGACGCGATCGTCCAACGAATCACGTTTTTATATAGAAAAACCTCATTCAATCACATTGTTCGTTTAATGGCAGCCAAAAGCTTTAGTCGACATTTCGTCAAAAAGTTTGCCGAACTAAAGTTATAAATCTTATGACATCTAAGTATATAGTATTCTTAGTTAGCTTTTTTGCTTTGGAGTTTATAATTCGTTTCATTACTCAAATTCAGGGTCCAGACGTTAATGTCTCAAGATTTCTATTGAAGTATCTACGGTAAATTATAAACCCCATTAAAAGCGCAACTAAGCTCGATCGTTGGACGGTCGCAAGTGTATCGCGGCGCCCTTACTGTGGCGGGTTGTGGCCCGGGGGCCCGGCGGCCGGCTCATACTTCCGCGGCCTGCCTCGACTCAGGTGCCGTCTCTTCACAAATTCCGCGTCGTCCACCATCCAGAAAGAGCCGAAGTCGTCCTCGTACCGCACGAAACATTTGTGCAGTGACAGGTTGGTCCGGATAGCGTTCTATAATTGCATCGCCGTTTAATAACTATCATAGTTATTCAAAAATCTCCAATCACTTATATTAATGCTTGTGCTTTCATTGCTTAGAATTTAAATCGTCAATCAAGAGAGCTGACAATGAAAACACAATCAGATCGTCGTGGAATGGAACACCGTACCATGCAGGATATCATAGCCCCAGAAACCCTGAAGGATGGACAGGAAAGGAGGTTAATAGGCAAGCGAGAAAACGTTATTCACCGTTGTGCCGAAACCCACGAACACACACATAAAACCTAAATACAGAAAAAATACAAGACTTGACAAATTGGTGACTTTATAACTGCCAAGTTATAATGCCACTCACAATAATCAAGAGCCCAACTACACAAATAATTACAAATTCAAATCTGAAACGAGATTAAAACGTTTATTTACACAATAAGAGTTAGATACATCGCTAGGTTAGATAGAAAATATTTAAGAGAAGATCAAAATGTACCGAAAACTGTGTAGTGTATGTCGTGTGCAGTGTTTGGCGGAACTTGAAAATTGTACTTTAACATTTACATACAACATTTATTAATGGAAATGCATGTCAAGTTTTTATGCAATTTCCAAAAAATGTACTAATATCAATTTGTTTCATCTTTTTTTAGGTTGATAGCATAATTTTTCATAATTCAAGTATTAATTTCGGATTTTTAAATTGCAGCTTTGAGCATTTTGTTTATTAATATTGTTGACATGATGGATTTCTTTGTTAATGTTAGTAGTATTGTTGGGTAGAATTGTGATTGTTTGTGATTAAAATATTTTTGTATCAGTGTATGTTGACGAGTTTTTAGAACTTTAAAAAAAGTATATTGTTTTTGTTTGGAGTACATTGAATATTAGTGTGAAAAAGTAAGTGTGTGTACTTGTCCAGTATGAAGTGTTCATATGGAGTTTTATGTATATGTTGCTTTGTGTTTTCAGAGAAGTGTTATTTTAGTTCAGTGTAATCTGACAGTAACAGTTAAGTATACTTTGAGTTTAGTATAGTCTGCAAGTGTATTGGTGTAAGTAAGTGATAGTATGTATGAGTGTAGCGTTTATAAGAAAAAGTAAAGTCAAATATTGTGTAATCAGTAAAGTATAAAGTGTAAATTGTTATGTTAATTTTAGTAAAAGTGAATAGTGTATATTAGCAATAATTGTAAGTGTACACTGTAAAGTATAATTTGTCTGGAGTTGTTTTTGTATTGTTTATATTTAGGAACAGGTCTGCATGGCTATAGTAGATTGTAAAGTAATTTGTGTAAAGTGTAAATTCCTGTGTGTTGTGATATGTTATTAAATAATTGGAAGAGCGTCATGCTAATTCAATATTTGTACAGTGGCCATGTTAAAGTGTAAATTAGTGTAGTGTCGTTATAAAAGTTTCGTGTAAGAGAGTAAAATTTGTAAAAGTGTAATTTAAGTGTAATTGTAAAAGTGTGATTTTTGTGTAAGTGTAAAAGTGTAATAGTGTGTGTGGCGTAGTGTATGCGCATGGGACATCAGACGGCGAGGCAGTACCCGGCGTGCAGCGGCGGGGGATGCGCGTGCGCGGCGCGCTGCGGGCGTCGCTTGTAGAACTCGACCTCGTCGACGGTCCACACGGCGCCCTTCACGTTCTCCACCCGCATGAAGCATTTGTGCAGCGACAGGTTGTGACGCACCGCGTTCTGTGTCGCCACGCAACGCGTCTTTATTCGCTCCACTACTTGCCAGACGATGTGCTATGCTTCGTTCAACAATTTCTTTAACAACCCTCTATGCCATATTTACTGCCTCTATCAGAGACATATGTTTTGTCAATGGTGATTGTCTTTCATTTACTTTATCATAGCGCATCGTCATAACACATTTGTACTGTTTTAATATACACATAGATTTATCTTATGTAGCAATATAGAATACAAATAAAATCATCTTATTTTCATAATGATTTCTTGAACAACAATCTTCAACTCAATTTTTCTCTAAATTTTTTTAGAACCTTTTAATTTTTTTCATAGCAATCAGATGCACGCGGAATGTCAGCTGAAGATTGCAGTTACAAATAATTCTAAAGGTCATATATTTATATAAATACGTATACATAAATCAAATAACCACATTTACCTTGTCTCAATGCATTGCAAACAGTATTTTGTTCAAAAAGAAATAATTAATTTTATAACATCTAAAATCTAAACATCTTTTTCTTTTGAATTTTCAAAATAATTTAAAATATTTAATTACAATATTATTAAGTAAGTCTTTATCATTTAAATTATATTCAAGACTCAATTTGCCAATAGGTTTATACATGTAACAGATATTTTTTTAATTCTATAATTTCTAAGACATACCTTCCATGTGGCAGCGTTGCGTCTGAAGTAGCAAAAGGTCGACTGGAACCAGTTGTATATCTCATTGAGAGTCAGCTGCTTGTCAGGAGATTCTATTATAGCCTGGAAAATGGGTTAAACTTAATTAATATTACATGTTTACTACGATGAAATAATAATGGTCCTATAATCGACCCTTGGGGAACGCCTAACTTTATTATTTAGTCTATTATTTGCTAAAGAAATCAGGACCATTTTGTTTTTTGTAAGAACACGACTTGTAGCTAATTAGTGCTAAGTACAACTTTTATAATGCTTATAACATAAAATTACCGATATTTGTAAATTAGATGTGTCATCGAAATTCATCAAAAGCTTAAGAAAGATACGAACCTGTCGGATAAGTGAGGCATATGTAAATGGCGGCCGGACATCAGCCGACTTGTAAAACTCGCGGTTGCGTTGGATCTCTGAAAATATTGACAACGATAAATATAAATGGATATATATATTATACTATATTAATAAAATACTAAAAAGCTAAAATACAGTCTATTTAAGATCACTTAAAAACTGTCATTTTATATCTTTACCTTGTTGCACATCTAATCCAGCTCTTTCGAGCATATATGGAAGACCTTTGAGACAAAAATAGTATTGAAAAAATTTGAATAACATACTTATAGATAATACGAGTAAGATAGTTTTTACTATTTTTACTATGTTAAGTACATACAAGTTTTTTGCCAGTTACTATTTATACAAGCAGGCTCAACTAAAAATGGTTTGGACCTGTTGAAAGATAACTTTAACTTGCTAAATTGAAAACTTACCTCCAGCTATAGCGACACCAGATTTGTCGGAGACACGGCGCCGAACTGGACCTGGAGATGCGCCTTCAGAAGCAGTACCTGCAAGTTGCGATAAAGAGGTTTTGGTGAAACTTACAAGCAATTCTCAGGAATGAAATTTGAAGCAAAAATTGTGATAACATCATAACGTGTAAAAGGAGTGCAGCTTTATCATTATCACCCTACAAGTGCTGATCAAAGGCCTCTTGTTATTCGGAAAAGGTTGAGCATTCATCACCACGTTTGCTCAAGGCAGATTGGTGGTTTCATTTTTGTAATTAGAAATTCAAGTTTCTACACGATGTTTTCCTTCATGCTAATTACAGAGATGGCGTAGAACTGAGAAAAAGTAGGTAATACTTGTACTTTTTTTGGTACCGGGGGTTAAGGATTCCGGTTTTCGTGTGATTTCCTTATCCTCCGATCTACCCCGCCCCACGATAGGAGTTACGTGCTAGCGTAGGTCTATTTGCTTTAAACATTAAGTAAGTTATTACCATGCGGATGCTTGGCCTGATGGTGCGTGGTGTCCCTGGCGGCGTGCAGATGCCGCATCATGGCGGCGAGGCGGTCCCGCTCGCGCCGCAGCTGCAGCTCCAGCTGCGCCACCACCTGCATCTGTACGCGCGCCTGCGCCGCCGACCGGTCGTCCAGGGTATGCGCTGCTTCCAGGTGCCTGAGAGTATATGATAAAAGAACATGTGCATGTTATTCTAGTCCTTGGTATTGAATCGTACAAATATTATAAATGCGAAAGTTACGATGTTTGGATGTTTATTGCTCAATCACGGTAAAACGGCAAGAAGGATGTGAATGAAATCTGGCATAGGCATAGGATACACTCCGGAATAGGACATAGGCTACTTTTTATCAACATACCACTCCGGCGAAGCCGCGGGAGATGCCTGAGAAGTGTCTTTATTTCTTATGACAACCTAGTATTCTACGAAACTTACTTAAGGAATGCCTGGTAATCTTCTGCGAGAGCATCACAGCCGGGCCACTTGCAGACGCCACGACCGAAAAGAGGATGCTCCTCCATCTCACTGCCCCACAGCATTAAGCCTAATAAAAACAATACCATGGTTATCTATGAGTTTAGTGTGAAATTCAATAAAGAATCTCTTTCATTTCTGATATTCTAAATAACGAAGCAAAAATATTGAACTCAATTTTTCCTTTTACCAAAATGATGTGAATGAAGAGAGAATATGTAAGACCATTTTTTTTCTGATGCGAAATTTGTCCGATGTCTTCTACCGTCCAGGGTAAGTAGAGAGAGAGTGTCAGACTCTTACTAACTAAAAACCCCCGTTCCTTCTCCAGCTCAGGGCTGAGGCCGCGGTGCCATATTGCGCTTGCCCCGAAACCCCGGCTGAACATCAGCCCTATAGGGCCCCGTCTGTGGTGGTCTATTGGCTCTTTGAGGGAAAGTATAACATACCTGGAGGAGCATTAGTAGGCACGGGGAGTGGTCCGTGCATCAAGTACTGACGCTGAACTGCTTGCAGCTGTTGTACCAGCTGTTGCTGCTGGGCCCCTAGTTGCTGCTGGAGAGAACCTAAACAGAAGACTTATAATTAAGACTAATCAAAAGAAAAAGGGGAAAATAATTTTCTGAGCCAATTAAAAGATTGTAGACTTTAGAGTGTTTTAGGAATTTACAGGTATTTTTTTAATTTAAAAGAAGCGCTTCGGATTTTACCACAACTTTTATTTTTATAAAAAAAAACATTAGCCCTATCTAGGATTTTCTCCAGTGTCGTGGATGCGTTTACAAGCTTATAAATTCACATACGCAAACTACCCAGACCCGAAACAACAATTTGTGGATTACACAAAGTGTAGTAATAATTTAAAAAGAATTTTACTGTAGTGTATTTGTTAAAGTGATTACTAACCTGGCGACGTATCAGGTGGCGGCAGATGAGATTGTGACAGCAAATTTAGATTAATCTGGTCTTGCAGCCGCGATTGTTCCAGCTGACGCTTTGCAGCCTCCGATGTCATATGCTGATTGAGGAATAAAGACCATAATTGAAAAATGTATACTGTAATTATTGAGTGTAACTTCTACCAACGTTTTTTTTAGCGAGAGAAGAGGAGGGAGAGCCAAACTTCATCACTAATGGGTCGGCTCGACCGGAGTGATACCATGGCTTAACCCACAGAAAACCGGAGTGAAACAACCACAGCGTTGTTACGCCATGTGGCTTTATCCTTCCTCTCTCCCAATGCCTAAATCTCCTAAACCCTAATCCCCAAAAAGTCAACAAAACACTCGTAACTCCTCCGTTGCTGCGGGTGTCCATGGGGGGTGCGGATTGCTTACCATCAGGTAATGGGTATGCTCAAATGCTCATATGCCGTGCTACTGTGATACTCATGATTCTATCCGTTGGTGGAATCTGATCAGGAACACCTTCTAATAAAATATATCCTATTTCAATTATACCTGTTTCTGCATATGATGCTGGTGGAACAGCCGCTGCTTCATGAGGGCTTGCAGCTGGGTGTGCTGGTCGAGGAGCTGCATGGCCAGCAGGTCGGGTGCCACAAGTGGCAGTGGGGAGCGAGCCCCACCTGCCGCACCAGCGCTCCCGGCTGGAGACACCGGTGCTGGGCTCGAATGGGCCGAGCCTTGGGGTGATGTTGGGGCTGAAGCCTGGACAGGTAAATTAGAACTTCAGAATCTATTGTTAGCTTCGTCTCCAGACTACAGATACTGCTTTATATAGGTTTTATTTTAAGTAGTGTAATAAGAAGTCAAGAAGTCTTGATATAATTATTGTTGTAACTGAAGTAAAACAGTAAGTGTTCGCGCATGGGAGAGCCATGCGTCGGCACGAATGGGCCGGCTCGACCGTAGTGATACCACAGCCTCAGAGAAAACCGGCGTGAAACAACCACAGCGTTTTGTTTCGCCGTGTGAGTAAGGTTACCGGAGTCCCAATCCCTAAATCTCCAAGTCTCTATTCCTTAAAAGGTCGGCAATGCACTCGTAACTCCTTCGTTGTTGCGGGTGTCCATTGGCGACGCTGATTGCTTACCATCAGGTAATATGCTTGCTCGTTTGCCGAACTATCACATAAAAAAAACAGTATCCCTGAGAGAAATTTCAAGTTGACTCACCCGTGCAAGTGCGAGGGGCTCATGGTCGCGAGGGGGCGAGGCGCGGCGCGGGGGCGAGCTGCGCCGGCGTCGCCGCGCCGCCTCGCCGCCCCACCTGCCGGACTCCTCCCTGGAAACAAAGGTATCTTTAAACAAATGCCAAATTACCTTTACACTTCCTGGCCCGAGCAAATTAAGCCTATAAGTTTTCACGAAAATTATATGAGATCCATTTATGCTTCACGATAATTCCATAGAAAAGGACCAACTCAAATAAACCTTAATGTATCATGATCATCATTTAGTTTGTCTTCTCCTCAAATGATAACTTCTGATTTATGCCGGACGCACCGGACTTCAGTGTTTCCATGGTTGTATCTACAGATTGATTTTGGCTTACAGGAGTTGCAGCGGTTTTGGAAGGAAGAGACGTGCATTTACCATTTAAAAAACGGTCCACTGTTAAAATTAGGCCTCAACATCACGAGATTGACCTATAAAATTTTACTATAATTCAAAGTGGTCTAGTACTTACCGGTCCAAACACCGGTCCAGCTCGAATGAGTTGATGAGCGGCGGCTTCGCGGCGCCACCCGGGTTTGAGTTCAGTGCCGACTCCGGACCCTACGAACAAAATACATCATCAAAACCAATTTCCTAGAGATGAAGATCAACAGATAGGATTGGATCCAACTACTGAAAAAAATAATTGAACCAAAGAAGCGAATGGAAAATTTAAAAAAATACAAGGAAAGCCTTTACCTATGTGTGGTGATGCGAAAGGTTATGTTTAGAGAGTTAATATGATCGTATATTACAAATGCTGACGTCATGCAATTAAAATGTCAGTGCACGTGTTAACGCAGTAGTATTCAAACAATAGTAACTCCAGAGTATATATTAATAATGCTATAAAACACGTGTTTAAAAAACCGTTAGACTCTAATGAAGAACCAAATAAGAACGGCAATTCAAAATATCTACATCAATTGATCTTGATCGGACAATAACGCAAGAAAGTAGTAAAAGACAAAACAATAAAAGACAAGGCTTAGCTATCAAAACTAATGAAAGACAATAAGGTACTCTTACCACACAAAGATCTAGTGAATCCATTACAATTTCCGCTCATTATCAATGAGATGAAAGGATAAATAGTTGCTAGTACAATCACTATACCTTTGATACGCGATGATGACAAAACAGTAACACAGGACGAGAGACAGTTTTCACCAAAGCAACCACCGTGGCACTTGGCAAAATGTTATTGTTACTACTGTTAGCTACTATCGTTGAAGAACAAACATATTTACAGTATGAGGTCACCGCGGTCCGTGGGGAGATTTGTTTTCATAAATAACTAACCATATTATAAACATGAAACATCGCATAGTGTAAACTAAGATACATTTTTTCATAAACATCCTCCACATAGAAAATAAAATAAGGTCTAGGATTGTCGCCAATTTTGCTATTGTAAATTATCGATCGAACAATGAGGGCTGTCTAAATATAAAAAGTACCTGAATCAATGCCTAACCGGACACTGTTTAAATACATTGATATACTAACGAAAGTAGAAGTCATTAACTTTTCTTACAAGCTTTTCTTTTTATTCTTAGGCTTCTTCTTAGAGATGTATTAATAATTATGCTGTCTGATCTCCTGACAAGGCTAGTAAAATGAATGATTGTTTCTTTTTTTGGTTAGTTTTCAATTTCAAATTAACTAAGAACATTACATCAAAAAAATACCCGCTTAGGTAAAAGAATGTGTGACCTAAAAACGTCCAGAAGGCTGGCAGCATTTTAACAATTAAGCAAGGATCCTAATGTATTTTCAAAAACGACGTACTAAGTATGATTTTGAAACTTAAAAATAGATGAAATCTTCATTCCTTCCTGAACATATACAATAATAATATAAACTAATTATATATAACATTATCATAATTGGGTAGTTTCCTAGGTCAAAAATAAATTAATCCAATGTTTCAATACAATAAAATATTGAAAAATAACTATACTTTTATTCATCGATGGATCGATACACCAAGTTTTAGATTTTTAAGCTAATTATTGTGAAATAAGTATGCTATTTGACGCAAAAATGTTGACGTCATAGCTCAGTTTTTCATACAAATTTCATAGAAAAGTATCGTTTTTGACGTTTGGATAAAAGTATTGAATTTGACTAGTTGGAAACTACCGTATTGTACAAATTCAGTATTTCATATAATTATACATTATGAAGTCGACCGTATACTCTTTCGCATTGTTTTCTCAGAATAAAACCAAAGAGGTCTTAGTCCAACTTAAAAGTGATATATCAAATTCATTTCCACTCATAACTTTTAATGACTGCTAGGGAGTTGGATGCCAACTCTCTCAAGCCCGAAACCTATCTCTATTTTCCATATGCTGACAGCTATTCAACCAGTTGTGAAGTAACTATACTGTTCTGATACTGCTCCCAAAAATGCGGTGTATTTTCAAAGAGTATAATATTGTATATGACTACTAGTAGTACAAAATAAAGTCGGTTTCTCCGTCCCTATATATCCTTACGTACGCTTAAATCTTTAAAACTCCGCTACGGATTATGATGTGGTTTGTTTTATTAGATAGAGTGATTGAAGAGGACGTTTTTATGTACAACTAGCTACTCCCGCGTGGTTTCGCTCGCTGCTCTTCTCCATTTGATTGTAGCGTAATGTTTTATAGCCTATAAGCACTCGGGAACATTGTAGCTATCAGTTAGTAAATAAGAATTTTGTAAGAATTTATAATATTAATTTCTGTAAAAATGTTTTTACAACAGCACTTTAAAATGTGCCTTCTTTTTTCCTTTTCACATATATACAGATTAATAATTAATGATTTTCCATTCGGCCAGTTTCAGTGCTCTATTAATCTAAGGATCTCTTTTCTGATAATGATCTGTTACTATCCACTATCCTATCTCATATTACGACATAGTTTGCTTTCAACTCTTCCATCATAATCATCAGCCTTTTTGATGTTGAGCAGACATTATTTTAATAGTTAGATAAAATAAAGCTTTGTGTTAGTTATCATTACTGGCGAATCATGAGGGCTTTACCGTCCTTCGGTTATACACAAAGAAAGGGCTGGCAGTGAGATGGGTGTTAGTTGGTAATGAAACATATAAAGTATATATGAAGCGTATTTGACAGAATTTTGTGTCATTTAAACATTCTTGGAAAATGGATCTATGATGTGAAGTCCAAAAGTCAAAGTCAAAGTCATTTACTGCAACTAAACCATAAAAATATAATGATAGACTGTCTTATCTGTTCGTCAATGAAGCTAGATTCTCGTTCCAAAGTGTAGATTCGAATTAAGAAGAACAAGCAAGTAACTCCCTCGTTACTCTTTTAAAACCGGAACACCTTTATTACTTCTTTTTTTTTTTTTTAATGTAATAGGTCGGCAAACGAGCAGACGGATTACCTGATGGTAAGCAATCAGCGCCGCCCATGGACACCCGCAACGGAGGAGTTACAAGTGCGTTGCCGACCTTTGAGGGATTAGGGATTTGGAGATTAAGGGATTGAGGAGGGATTGAGGGAGGGGAAGGATTGGGCCTCCGGTAACCTCACTCACACGGCGAAACACAACGCTGTGGTTGTTTCACGCCGGTTTTCTGTGAGGCCGTGGTATCACTCCGGTCGAGCCGACCCATTCGTGCCGAAGCATGGCTCTCCCACACTTTACTTCTGAGCCAACAATTTACGTACGTACCTACTGCTATCCTTAAACAATGATTTAAACATTATTCTGATTGAAACTTAACTAGATTTTCAGTTTCTAGTATTTTTAGCCTGTCTCGAATTGCAACCAGTTCTGGATGGGAAAGCCATTTTTTTAATAGACCTATCACCTTATAACATTTAACAGGTCTGCATAAAAAGTAATAAATACTATGCATAAAAAGTAATTTGCAATATGTGCCTTGCACTGCAAATCTGTCGTCAGCGATATTTCCAACTGATATAATACTCGACCTTCAAGAAAAAATCGTACTCTTTTTTAAAGGCTGGCAACTCAGAATAACCAACGTCGTCGAATACCATCAAATCCAGAACTACTAACCAACTAGTTTACAGTAGTAGTAGAGTTTACAGTCTAAGTTACAACATGTATCATAAATGCCTTATACTTATATCCAAATGCATACTACCAACTTTTTTTAAGAAAATATCATCAAATTACTTCTCGCGTTCTGAATGGAGCGAGAGGTAGTGTCAGACTCTTACTGATTAAAAATCGACGGTAGACCTAACACTGACATGGAGAAAATAACGTCACGATAGTATGTCTCCGTTTTTTGGTTTAGGGTTGGAGACTAGTGTAGGGCGCCCTCCAGCATGACATCCGCAGGGTGGCTGGCAGTGGTGAGCTGAACATCGAGCTCAGTAGTGTGCAAGGCCTATGTCCAGCAGTGGACGACAACAGGCTGGTGATGATAAGGGCGGGGTGTTAGAATATTATCTAATTTCTCCTCTTGCTCTGGGTGGGCGAGTAGGAGTGGCAGACCAACTAAATCCACACGGTTCGTTCTCCTACCCTGGGTCGAGGCTTCGGTACATAATACTCTATTTACCTAACTAAAGGTGACATTCATGTTCTTTCACATCAGATTAAGATAATAATGTTTATATTATTGTAGTGAACGTGCAATAAACAATAATAGCAATATAATTGCACACAACAAAATATGCTGCGTAATATGTTTGTATGTCATATACATATTATGTTGTGATATAGATCACGTTCTTAGCAACTTCGCTTATCTAAGCGAGTTACACAAACAGCCAAACAAATCTTTAATAAAATTGCACACTGTTATGTAATTTACAATGTAAGCTGGATAGATTTTACTTTATGATGAATCAACTATTTTAACTATATTTGCACGTGGTTAAATAGAAAATGTTTTTACGGTGACACAAGTTATTTTTTGTTATTTTTTAGTGATTGTAGACAAAATTGTTCTGTCAAGTCAATTGTTCTGTTAAGCTAAGTCACGCCCAAATTTTTAACATCAATAAGTTTTTGCTTTTTGAATAAGTAAAGAAAATCAAGATAACACAAGAAAGGAGGTTTCAAATACATATAGATAGGTAGAGGTACAACATCTTTGCTAAAGAATAATGATACAGATTAGCTGATGGTAAGCAATGCCGCCCATGGACACTTGTAATACCAAAGGAGTTACTACAAGTGCATTGCCGGCCTCTTGTGGGTTATAAGGGATTTAAGAATTTAACTTCACTCACACAACGTTTAAAAGATATTTAAAGTTTTCTTTGGACGCTACCCTACACTTTCTTTTCCATAAACATTTCAATTTCATATTGGAAACGGGTCAGTGTTAACCTATGATACAGCCTACGATGGAGCTCGCTCTAAAATAAACCTAATCCCTTAGGACTTAAAGACTCAGTTTATCTTAGGATTAAAACTGTCTTCGTGAAAATAAATACACCAGAAAGACTTCATGTAATATAGGTACGTACGCATTTCTTCATGTATTAAAACATTATCATTAGCAAAGACTGAACGATGCCTACCTATATGTACCTACATACACGAGACTTA